ATAGTGACAATTTTTTTTACCTTCACTTTCTCTAAGATTTATTTATCTTATTTATTAATGTGTTCAATTACTTGCTGTGCATCAGAGAACTGGACAATGACAAGGATGACAGAAGAAGAACCAATGTCTTTGAGTTGAGGTGCTGGAAGAGAATCTTGAACATAAAATGGACTGCCAAGAAAACAAATAGGTCTGTCTTGGAGAGGGTAAAACGAAGTTTCTCCTTGAAGGCTAGGATTTTTAAGCTCTCTCACATACTTTGGGTACATGGCCAGGAGAGACCAGTCCTTGGAAAAGGATGTCATGCTTGGAAGGGTGGAGAGACAGCACAGGAGAGGATGACCCAGATGAGATGGATTGATACAGTAACTGAGGAAATGAGGGTAGATGTGTCAGAGTCAGTGAGATTGGCTCAAGACAGGGCAGGATTCAGAGGTGTTTGTTGTACATAGGGTCACTATGGGTCACAAATAACTTGATGGCATGTAAAAACAATGACAATGTACTATCTATACTTACACATCAATTTCTTTTTATTTTATGTGTCATTGAGTCATTGACTCATAGCTGACCCTGAAGCAGATTTTCAGAAGCTGCAATTTTTTTCAGAGTCTGAAAGATTGCCCATCTTTCTCCTGTAGAATAGCTGATGCATTGTTTTTGCTGTGTGCTATCAAGTTGGAACTGACTCATAGCTGATTGTCTAGCATATTTTTGGAGGCAGTGAATCACACTGAAGAAGATTCCTCATTTTTCTCCCATGGAACAACTGCTTGATTCAAATCACATGCCTTTGGGATCCCAATGCAGCTTTTTATCCCTAGGCCACCAGAGCTGTAGTGTCTAAAAACTGTAATTAAAGCATGGGTTTTTAAGGCATGCTCATTAGTAAACTTTGTGATCAAATGATGGAGCCTGCCGTCACCAATTAAACAGTCCCTGAAGTGAGGAGTGAGGATTAAGAAAATAATGATAGAGACAAGAGAAAGAGTTGGGAGGGCATACAGTGAATACTGCAGCCCCGAGTTTATTCTCTTCTGTCCTTTTATCTTCCTTTTACGGGGAACAAAAAAACAATCCAGCCCCACGGCTGACAATACAGTTTGCTTTTCATACCCTCATTTAGCCCTAGGGCTCAAAGAATGTTCAAGGCTGTTTTTGTACTGAGAACAGTAAACAGTTTCTCTTGTGGGAACATCTGGCCATTTCCTTATAATACAGCTGATTGCTTCCTTGTATCTTTTACTTAATAATTTTCCAGTGCTATATGAAGCTTTTGCTGTGTCTTTATTAAAGGTTTCCCACAATCAAACTTTATAGGTAGCTGATGTTGTTATTGTGTACCATTGAGTCAGAGCCAAGCCATAGCTGACCCTCTGGTGGGTTTTCAGAGGCACTTGATGGCACAGGAGGAAATTGCCTAGCCTTCTCCTGCGGAGCAACTGGTGGATTTTAACCCCATGCCTTCAAAATTGCAGTGAAGCTTCTTGCCACTAGGCTACCAGTACTTGCTAAATAAATTTGAGAAAACCTTAGCCTTGATTTCACCAAATTATGTCCAGAGGGCAGCAGAGAGTGACTTTCATGTAAATAAATACTTAGAGACAAGAATAGAGGGTTTGTTTACTTGAACAAAATAGACAAAACTATGAAATTGTAATGATGATTAAAAAAGAGAATAGATGAAAAGATAAACACATTTAGGAAAGTGTAAAGGTGAGAGATATACTGGAGAAAAATAGAGTTAAAAAGTGGGTAGGTAGGTAGGTAGGTAAAGACTAGCCAATAACAAAAAAACTAGATTTTAAAATAAGATTTAATGGACTTGAATCCTTACTCCCAACTTATTACCTATAAAAATTTGACTAATTTTCTTAAGCTTTTAAGCATCAGTTACTTTGGCTGTAAAATGAGAATAACTTTGAGTTCATAGAATTATTGAAAGTGTTAAATGATGTGATATTTAAAAATATACATATTTATAAAGTGCTTAGAATAAGGCCTGGCTTGACAAATGTTATTTACTATTGATGTGGTTAGTGAGGCTCAGAATTTATACTTAGCAAACTATAAAATGTGGTTAGTAATTTCTCTGCTCTATGTTTTGTATTAGTTTGATATTATACACATATTTTATTTTCAAACATAGTTTTTAAATTTTTGCTCCTTGCATAATCTTTAAATGTATTTAAAAAGAATGAGTAACAATCAATACTCTTATTATCAGCAGTAACATGTCTTTTAAAAGAATGAGTAACAATCAACACTATTGGTACCAGCAGCCAGGAGATTAAAAGACTAATTAATTGTATTGGGAAATTCTGCTGTCAGAGATCTCTCCAAAGTACTGAAGAGCAACGACATTATTCTGGAAACTAACATGCACCTGATACAGGCTATATGGTCTTTGCAATTACTTGCAATGCCTCAGAAAACTGGACAATGACTAGCGATGATAAAAGGAGAATTGATGCCTTTGAGCTGTGGTGCTGGACAAGACAATAACAACAACAATAACTTCTACTATAATTAATTAGATTAGAATCTCTAATCATTGTGTCAAGGGGTACTTAGGAACTTTGCTGAATGGTAGACTGTTGTGGCTTGATCATTTATTTTACCTCTACAGTACAAACTCACTTAAAAAACTCACTGCTATTGAGTCGGTTCTGACTCATAATGACCCTCTATGAGGTTTTTGAGACTATAAATATCAATGGGAAGGGACTGCCTGCTTTTCTTTTGCAGAAAAACTAGTGGATTTGAATTGCTGGAGCTGAACTAGCTTTGGGTTAGCAAGGCAGCTTGTTATGGTCTGTACCACTAGAGTTCTGTAGGACAGGTCAGTGCTAAAATTGCTGGGGAGATTTTAATACCTTAATAACAGAAGCGCATACATTTTCAGGAGTGTAAAAGCTGAATAAGGACTCTGGATACCTTTGAGAGAATGTAAGATCCTTGAAATTCTTTGCTTCTTCTTGTTGTTATGTACTGTTGAGTCACTTGCAATTCATAGTGACTCTAAGTACAACAGCTCTGAAACCTGCTCTATCTTGAGCCAAACTCATTGTCTCTGACACGCCTACCTCTTTACCCCAGTTGCTGAGTCAGTCCATCTCATCAAGGGTCTTCCTCTCTTATGCTGTCCCTCCACCCTTCTAAGTATAATGTCCCTCTCCAAGGACTGGTCCCTCCTTGCAACATGTCCAAAGTATGTCAGATGAAGCTTCAGAATCCTTGTCTCCAAGGAGCAGCCTCTCCAGGACAAACCTATTTGTTCTCCTAGCAGTTCATGGTATATTCAGTACACTTATCCAATACCATATCTCAAAGGCATCAATTTTTTTATCATCTTTAGTCATTGTCCAGTTCTCTGATGCATAGCAGCAGGTAATTGTGAAGACCATGTACTGGATCAGGTGCACCTTAGTCTCTAGACTGACATCATTACTCTTCAGTACTCAGGAGAGGTTACTGACAGCAGATTTTCCCAATGCAATTAATCTTTTGATTTCTTGGTTGCTGGTACCAAGAGTGTTGACTGTGGAGCCAAGCAAATTGAATCTGTTAAGAATACTTATCTCTTCACCGTTTATCATGATGGTGCCAATTGGTCCAGTGGTAAGAATCTTTGTTTTCTTGATGTTGACCTTCAACCTATATTGAAGCCTGCAGTCCTTGACCTTCTCCAGCAAATGCCACAGATCCTCCTCAGTTTCAGCAAGCAAAGTTGTGTCATCTGTATAATGCAAGCCATTGATGAGTCTTCCTCCAATCCTGAAGCCATGTCCTTCCTCATAGAGCCCAGCCTCCTGGATGATCAGTTCCACATATAGATTAAAAAGGTATGGAGATAGGATGTATCCCTGGCATATACATTTGAACTATGAAATGTTTTCCTTGCTCTTTGCTGATGACTGCCTCCTGGTCCAAGTATAACTTTCACATAAGCACAAACAAGGTTCTGGGTTTCCCATCTCTTCAGAGTTAGCCACAGTTTGTTGTGATCCACACAGCCAAAAGCCTCTGCATAGTCAATGAAACACAATTAGACATTCCTCTGGTTCTCTGCCTTCAGCCAAGATCCATCTGACATTGACTAAGAACAATCATTATGGTTGTTATGTACAAGTCAAATTGACTCATAGCTCATCCTCCCACAGGTTTTCTGAGGCAGTGAATTACATAGGAAGAGCTTACCCATCTTTCTGCCACAGAGTATCTAGTTGATTCAAACCATATAGCTTTGGGCTGGCTGTGCAGCACCTTGTTGCTAAGCCACATGAGTTCAACATAATCCTTTTAGAGAGGACAACAAGGTCAGAATCAGAAACTTCATGATGGAGCAGAGGTTGGGATAACACAATCACGAGCCAAGGCAAGCAATGGGAACGGAGAAGCTGAAAATAACAAGGAATTAATTCCTAGAGCCTTCAGAGAAGTGCAACCCACAGACTTTTATTTTAGCCTGTAAGATCTGTTTCAGATTCCTAGTCTTCAAGACTGTACACGAATAAGTCTGCATTTTTCCCCCCAATTTGCTAAGTTTATCACACATTTGTTATAGCAGCGTCAGAAACTGATAAACTTATGATACTTCTGCAAGGTTGTGTTGATTCTCATAAACAGCAGTTTGAAACAAGAAGTCTCTAGAAAAAAAACATTTTAGTCTAAATTTTGTAACTAAGGCTGTACAGCTTTTCACCTTGGAAAAAAGGTGATAAAAATGGTGTTGACTGGGAAATTTAATGGCATAGGTGAAAAACTGATAAATATTTAACCCAAATTTAGACACATTTGTTTTTCTCGGGTACATCCAATGCCTTAGTATAGTGTTTATCTATACAAGGCAGGAGTGCGAGGAGAACCAATGAACTGTAAGACACCCCTGTTAATCCATTTCCTCGGCTTTGCTGCAGTGCTTTGAACAGGAAATCTGTTGTGTTGGTTCCAGAGAAGAGCTACTTCTGTGCCAGCTTGCTAATCAGACAATCACACACTGAGTGGAAAGAGGGCGTAAGAGGAAGGAGTTCTCAACTGCAGAGGTGCTAGGAGGACCCAGTGCAGAGGAGTAGGAGTCCCCAGAGAGATCTTGGCCATGCTCACAACCCCTTTTCCACCTGTGTGGGGATAAAGTGCTAAGTAAAGGAGGGCAGGAAGAGAGTTAGCAGAAATGTTCTGGCTTCAGAGAACTTCTGTCCTGGGACTACTGATTGTGACTATTTCCTTAGTGTCTGGTAAGTCTGACTTCTCTTTGAGAGTGGGTTAGAGAATGAATGATGGTCTTAAGTATCTTTCAGCTTTATCTTTCTTAGGGAGCAATGTAAAAGATACTGGAGGTAGAGGTGGAGCTACTCTGAAATTTCTGTGACTTTATCACTTTTATTTTATTCTTTATCACCATCTTATTATTTGTATCCTATATAGTATACGAGTCTGTAAAATCCACTCTACTGCTTACTCATTCATCCATCCTCCATTTTTCAGGCCAATCAAGAAAAATGAATTACTACTAACAACTCTAGTTATGTAGACTCCTGTCTATCTGCTGCTTTTATTTTAAATAATAACCATAATCTCTTTAGATCTATGTCATCAGTAATATTAATTAGAAGTAATTTTCTTTGACCATGTGATTATTTCATGTAGCACAATGGCAGTGAAGTGGCTGTGGTTGTTAGCATTTTTCCTTAAGTTTTGTGTACTGTGGGAGATCATCTCTGAGTTAAAGGACTCACTCTCAATATCAAGGTTCCTGCAGTACATGTAAGAGGGTCTGGAGCTATTGGGAGAGAGAATGCCTGGCTTTAGTGAAGAGGCTTGTCAGAATTGCTAGGTGAGGAATTTTTGGGGTTTATCTTACAGAAGACATGAGCAGCTGCAAGGATATAGTGTAGTTGGTTTGAGCTTGATGACTTGATAATTAAGAAAAGTCCTTCTTTCCTAATACAAGTGACTAGTTAAAATATTATCTATCTTCTAGCAAAAATATTCTGTCTTCCACATGTTATTCTTAATAGTGAGACAGGTGCCACAACCATATTCTATTAGTGGATACTTTCCTGGACAATTTTAACCTTATTCTTCCTGTGTTGATTTCCACAGCAACCCACAGATATTTTAATAATTTACAAAGGTAGACGGAGGCTTAGAGAGGGAAAATTGTTTTCTCAATGTTATATATGTTGTTATGTGGCAGAGTCACACTCAATAATTAAGTGCAAGTTGATATTAATAATATGTATAGGCAATTTACCAATATTTAACCATTGTCTTTTACTGAAGAGCTTTTACTACTTCCACCACAGTGCCAAAGTGAAGCTAAAACTCAGGCGTAACCTTAAATTGGCTATTTACTCATATACATGGAAATGTAAAGTGGAAATAAAATGGAAGTAAAGTGAAGTTGACTATTTAATCATTAAAGACAGAGACCAGTCCAGCCCCAACTGTAGCAGGGAATCCAGGTCCACCAGGAGTTGTTTATACAACTACTAGGGCTTGGAGCAAAGAGAGGGGTGGAGGTGAGGAGGACTTAAGTTGAAAACCTAGTTATAATTTCTATTTTAAAATTTTAGATTTGGAAGTGTTTTAGAACCCAACAAGGAAATGCTCCATATGTTACATCTCTGGAGTTTGTGTTTATATTATTATAAGTTATCTAGATGCTTTTTTAGGTATGGGTTACCTTCAAAAGGAACTTTCCCCCTTCCCTTTGAGTAATTTTAATTCATTTTTTATTACTTTCCACTAGGGGGCAGGCAGTACCAAGGGGAAAAGATGGAACGCAGGACAGGGCCAGGCTATTTGATAGTACCAACATCGCGAAAAGATAAACGAGATGAAAAACATTTTTCAAAAAGCAGAGGTTTGTCTTCATTAATTCAAACCCTAACTTCCTTTTCTAGTGTCTTATAGATGTCCATACGTAAGCTACTAACAAATTTTTCAAAAGTACTGAGCTCAGTGACTAGATGGAAGGTAGGGGTGCTATCTGTATGTGGCAGTTATTTTAGTCAATTTAAATGAGGAAGTTGAAAGATGAAGATGCAGTGAAATAACTGGAGAATATTTTACTTACGATTGAGAAATTCATAGAGTAGTTCAAAGACAGAGGAAATTTCTGTGACTTGGAGTTGTTGAAGGCCCTTTGGAGTGGGGGTTCTTAAGTTGGGCTTTGAATGACAGACAGGTAGATTGCGAGGAGAGGTGTGTAGCATGGGCAAAACAACTGTGGCTCAGGGAAAGAGGAATTTTATCTCAATGGAACAGAAATGGACTGTTCTGTGATGGTAGGAGATAAAGCTGAACTGTAAGAGTCCTTGATAGCTAAGCAGAAGAACCTGGACATAGTGTAACTGGCAATCAGGTGATATCACTCGTTTTAGGCAATGGAAAATAATTTAATATTGCAATAATTTAGGAGAATGAATGAGTTGGCAGCAGTATTATACAGAATGGGAGTGGAACTTGGTAAATAATAAATTTTTGAAGCAAGAATCAAGGGCTTCAATGTTCGAGTTTCCAAGTTAGGAAGTCCTATGGTGCCCTTGAGAGGCATAGGGTGGTTGAAAAGAGTGGACATCTAGGAGAAAAACTTCTACAGACACTGGGAAGTACAGCACCATCCAGCTCTGTGAATTGTTAGTGGAGTGGATGGTCCTGTAAAGAAAGGAAACAAACAAAAAGTTTAATCAGCACTGGGTATTTTTGGATTTGGGTTATAAGAATTCTAATTATCTCCTCTGCAACTGAGAACAAGGTCTTACATGAGATGGGCCATACATTTAGTGCTAAACTTTGAAGATAAAGAGAGAAAAGTCTTCTGAAACTAAGGAGTAAGATAGATTAGATAAAGGAATGCTTGTAAGTTGACTATTTCAATAAGAAAATGAGAACTAAAAGTAACAGTAACAACAAATTAACAGCAAATGAGTATTTCAATTATTGGTGCTAATTAGTAAAATAACCCATTGTCATTTTGATTTGTGTCTTATTAGAAAAACTAATCAGTATAGTCATTAGAACATAGTCATCATTTCCATAATTTGTTCTCTCTCATTTTTATCACTTACACACATTGGTAGCATAATGCCTTTCTTGTCAGCGCTTAGAATTGACTAGACACTTCCAAGGGGAAAAAATGAGACATTCTCCTCCTATAACCATTTACAGCCTCAGAAACCTGACCCAGGGTCACTATAGTCAGGACCAGCTTGACAACCACATGTTTGGAGACAGCAAATCGTGCTTATGACAGAATTCTTTTGTTAAACAAGTTTGTCTAATACCACATCAGCTCATGCCCTCTCAACACCCCCGGCAGAGATGGAGCTGCTTATGCACTAAAATGGGAGCAAAGTGCTTAAAAGATTTTGTAGCTAGAATCTATATATTTTACATGCAGTTGTTGTTGTGTGTCATCCAATCACAAACCTTTGGGTTGGCAGTGCAGCTCCTTGTACTGCCAACACAAAGGCAGGTGGTTCAAATCCACCAGCTATTATGTGGGTGAAGGATGGACAATCTCCTCCTGTGTGATTTATAGCTTCTGAAAACCCACTGGAAGGCCTACTATGGGTTTGTTCTGACTCAATGGTATATTACCAACATGGAAATGTACCTGGAAAGGATAAGGAGCAAAAAAAGTCTACACAGCAACCTCAACCAGCAGACGCCTTCATTTAATCCCATGGGAGCTATGCAGCTAGAATTGTCCTATAGATTTCCTTCATTGAATTGAAAAGATGAGCTTTATATCTTCATTTCCGTCAGTCATTAGAAGTGAGCTCTGAGAAGTGAATGGCTTTGCATGAAGTAGTTGAGGTGATCCTTGAAGTTGCTAAGAGCTGAAAACTGCCTGACAACAGTTCTAGTAGCTTAAAATACCTTATGACGTAGGCCGCCAGTGATAAAAATGTCTTCTTTTAATTCTCAGAAAATTCGCCTTATCCATCCTTAGTTAATTCCCTCCATGTTATCTCGGGGCTGTTTTCAACTAGTAATTTTAAGCCAGACAGAATCAGCTTAGAGTCTAAAATGTCAGAACACTGTACCATCGTAAACTTACTGAGACTGCCAGGGGCATAAAGTTGAGACGTGAAATTTGACAAACTTTGCCGATGATTCTAATGGCAACCTGAGTTTAGAACATTGCTTTAGACCTGTCTTAGTTTCTTCATCACCCCAAGTTTCTATGTTGTCCTTAAATCTTTGGTATGACCAGTAGGTCACACAACATGGACTTTGACTTTTTCCTAGAGAGGAGGTCCTGAGAGTAAGGGCCTCATCTCACTCATCTGACTATTTTCAGGGTCTGCACAGAAAATGTTTGCTAAGCTCAACTTCCTCTAAATGTCTTCTAGGTCTGTAACCACTCTTTTTTTTTTTTTCTTCTCTTTCAGAAAAGAAATATCAATATATTAAGACAAAAACTTCCATTTTGCTTTCCCCCTCTTTTTTATTATGGTAAATATAATTTAAAATTTGTCTTGTTTACCTTTTTAAGTGTACAAATCCAAAACATAATACATATTCTTTTTTTGTCTCCACACTTTCCTTCATTTCTATTATGTTACATACCATTCTCATACATTGTGTCTTATAAAAGTAATCACCATTGGGCTATGCCTACCTTTACCAGTCTTTTCAGGTCCCCACCAGACCTTTCCTATTTCCTTTACATGCTTCCTCCACCCACCAAATTCTGTAACCCTGTGATTTCACCCCTACCCATTTCACCCCTCTGCTTCCACCCTTTTCTGCTTTGGATTCCCATACATGTTTTACTACTTATCCTATTTTTGCAATAATGTAGCCTTGAAAACTAGAACCAAATTAATTTTTTTCTTTTTGCTTCCTAATTTTTATCCATTTATTGAATTTGTTATTAAATATGTGTTTTGAAACTTGTTACTTTTCTCAAACAAACATGTCTAAATTTTCCTTTTTTATAAATCCTTTTTGTGTTTTATTTTCACCTCTATGTTATAGCTGAATAGTACAATTAACTAGCAAAGTCATTTTTTTAAAAAAATTATTTTATGCTCGTTTATTTACAAAGTTCGAATACATTGTTTTTAATACCAGATTTTTCCCATTATTTCAACCCCCAAATCAAATTGTGAAACCTTTTGATCAAGCACCCTCTCATCCTTACCCCTCACCCCCACCTTGAATCCTTATATTCATTCTACAGTAATGGTTTTATACAGTATTTGTTCTTAAGGGACTAAGTTGGTTCACCCAGCATAATGCTCTCTAGTCCCTCCCAAGATAGGTAGTAATTTACAAAATCATTGTTCTGTTTTGTACAATATTCCATTGTGTGTATGCACTATAATTTCTCAATCCATTCAATTGTGGTTGGACATCTGAGCTGTCTCCAATTTCTTGTGATGGTGAATAATGCTATTGTGAACATTTGTGTACAAGTGCCACAGTTTTCATTTTCTTGGGGTACATTCCAAACAGTAGAATAGCTGGGTCATACAGAACTTCTACGTCCATTTTTTTGAGGAAGTGCAATACTGCTTTCCAGAGTGATTGTACCATTTTACAATCCCACCAGCAATTTATTAGAGTTCCCATCTTGCCACATCTTCCCCAGCATTTATTACTTGCTGTCCTGTTAAACATTGCTCCTGCTACTGGAGTGAGATGGTACCTCATTGTGGTTTTGATTTTCATCTCTCTTATTGCCAGTGATTATGAACATTTCTTCATGTGTCTGTTGACTATCTGAATATCTTCTGTGAAAAGTCTTCTCATGTCTTTTGCTCATTTTCTAATTGTGTTATCAGTCTTTTTCTTGTGGAGGTGCTATAGGATTCTGTAAACATTTGACAGTAGACTCTGGTCTGAAGTGGAATTGACAATTTTTTTCCCCCCAGTCAGCAGTGTTTTCGTTTCATTCTATTGGAGATTACTTTTAAAAAATTTTATTTTATTAATTTTAATGAACATTAACAGAGATTTTGGATTCCATTCATTCATTGTCGCATTTTTCTCCCTGCCCACCCCTCCCTCCAAGTTTGCTCTTCTCTTTGAAAAGGAGAAGAAAAATTCCTTCATTGGTATACAATCACCCTCCCCTCCTGCCCTGAATACACTCCACTATGCAACCTTCATTCAGGACTCTTGTCATAACCATAATACTCAATCATATATCACTTTTAAACTGTTATCTCCCTCATCTGTTTCAATGCAGTATACATAATTTATCCAATTGTTCTCAGTATCACCCCAACCCTGATGTCAGTCCTGTTCTACAACAGTGACACTATGCAGTACTTATCCTTCAGTGACTGAGATATTTCACTCAGCATAATATCCTCCAGGGTCACCTACTTTGTATAATATTGCATGAGTTCATTGTTTTTCAATGCAGAGTAGTATTCTATTGTGTGAATATACCACAGCTTCTCTATCCACTAGTTTGTTGATGGGCACTTAGGTTGTTACCAACTCTTTGCTATTGTGAACAAAGCCACAATAAACATGGGTGTGCAGATATCTGCCACGGTGGCAGTTATGGTTTCTTAAGGGTGTATTACCAGTCGAAGAATTGCTGGGTCAAATGGTATTTCTATTTGAAACTCTTTGAGAAAGTGCCATGCAGTCTTCTATAGTGGTTGCATCATTTTACACTCCTGCCAACAGTGAATAAGGGTTCCAGTTTCTCCACAACCTCTCCAGCATTTGTTGTTCTTAATAGGGTAAGATGATATCTCATAGTTGTTTTGATTTGTATCTCTCTAAGAGCTACGGATTTTGAGCATTTCTTCATGTATTTGTTGGCCATCTAAATGTCTTCTTGGTGAAGTGTCTGTTCATGTCCTGTGCCCATTTTTCAATTGGGTTATTTAT